CTTCAGTCTTCTCTTTCTCTTAATTAGTTTATTTCTTCAGAAGGGATTTCATTTTTTCTGCAGTTCCACTGCATTTCCTATGTATATTCTAGAGCAAAAAGAAATGAATTCTTTGAAGAGGTTGCTTATTTCAAGAGGAAAGATCCTTGTTTAAGTGGGCTCCAGTGCATTAAGATCTGAGCTGGATGTTACTAAGTTAACAGCATTTCCAAACATATTCCTCGGGTGTTTAGCAAGGTTTAGGGAGTTGCCATGGAGGCTTATTTGCCTCCAGATGAGTCAGAATTATTGAAATACATCTATCTGAATCAGAAGATTTTATTCCAAGTTATGAAAGGGGTGAAAGCCTTCCTCTTTGAACAGCACCTCCCCCTGCAGCTCCCTTTCTGCCAGCTTGCTGTCACTTTGTTCCCAAAGCACTTTCCCTTTTCAGGTCCTCTCCTGCTCTAGGGATTTTGTGAGGGTGTCTTCTCTGCTTCTTCAACTGAATTTGAGGCAATGTGCCTTTCTACCACAGACCTGGTGGAAACTTTTGAAATAAATGGAAATCTTTTCTTTCATTCGCTCTGCTAGTTGTTTGATTACCCACACCCCATCTGCCACTCTTCAGGGGAATTAGATGCAGTCCCTTTTGAATCCCCAGTAAATGTGTAATGACTGGAATGTTCCCTCTCTCCCTGTGCTTTTGGGCTTCCCAATTTCTGTATGACCTCCTTCTTCAGAACTGTGTTGTCCTTATCCAAGGAAATGTAACTGTAGATTGAAAGAGTGATTTAGGGAAAAATTGCCTTCACTGGGCATTAAATCCATGATTAGCTTAAAAATTTGTCCCTTTATGTTACCTTAAAAATAAATCACAGACCTGAGTGGAGAAAGAAATATTAATAGAAGAATGATCAAATGTTACCCTTTCTTCTTCCCAAGGTCTGTGAACTGGAATGCATTTGAAATTCTTCAGTCTCATGTCAGCATCAGGAATAAGTGCTCAGACCTGCCACCAGCAGAGCCCCACGCTGTTGTGGGCTTGCAATTGCAACAGCTCCCTTTTGTGTTAGGTGGGCTGTCCTCTGTCTACAGGAATGTTACATCTCCCTGAGCATCAAGATGTTTGTTGTTTTTTTTTTTCCCTTCGTCCTCTGAACCCTTACAGTATCAGAAAAGATGCTATCAGTCACCCCTTTATGCACTCCCACATTGGTTGGTTTATCTCTGTAGTGAGGAGTGTAATTGCTAATGTCTGCAGAGGTGCACATACAGGTGCAAAGATCAAAATAGTAAGCATATGTCAAGCATAATTATGGTACACCTGTGTGCATGTTTTCATCTGTGTGAAAAAGAACAGCACCAAAAACATTCTGGTTGTGGTCTTAACCCAAATTCACTTCACCAGCCTCAGGTTTTTATACAGAATCACTTATCTCTAGTTCTGAGTTACCTCAAAGCAGGGATTTCCTGTGTTACTTTTTGCAATGCCAGAAGCACTAATCAAATGAAAAGAGGTCTGATGCAGCCATATGTAACAGCATGACCTGGAATTGCTTGCTTTTGGCTGTGGGAAACCTTGCTCTACCTTTATGAGGAAGTCTAGACAAAAGGAAGATTGTTAAAGGTCTACAGCTGCAGCAAGGTGAAACCCCTGGTACTGAAGGCACAGAAGAGCAGGCACTCAGCTGATGTCACTGTTCCTAGAGTTTTTCATTAAGTGAAATGAAATTAATCTCTTTTCCCAAATACACAGTGTTTCAAATTCCAGGCAAGACAGTGTGAATAGAGGAGTGGTGCCTGACTAGAACAGGCGGACACTCAACTCTGTTTCATAAGCATGGATTTTGACACAACATTTCTTCTGGTTAATTCCCACATCACAGAAGGTTAAATGTAATTTTTAGTTTTCATTCTTAACAAAATGATGGAGTAAGGTTTGATAGGAATGTGTCTAGCAATCTGTCTTCAGAGACCATCCCAGGCACGTGCTCTTTGTCTCCTACAGCTTCTGTTGTCTGTGACACATTACTTTTCTGACATAATCATGATGTCAAAGTTGGTATAAAGCATATTATTGCTTCTTTTTTTTTATGTCACATTGGTTTGAACTCAGTGGTAGACACTTCCACTATTTATGCAGAGTCAAACTTATTAGCCCACAGCAGCTCACAAATTAGTGACAAACTGTTGTCATTCATATTCAGAGCCAGGACTGAAATATCTGTGGAAGTGTGCTAAGATTTGGTTGTGCTTTTTATTGAAAAGGTGTCTCACATCTCAGAAGATTATTTGCTCTTAAAAAGCCTTTCTTCTATCAAAAATCTTGTAGCACCAAAAAATATTGTAAAATCTAAAGGAACTGAGTGGCCAAGTTGTTACACTCAGGAAATCTGGGAAGAAGTCACACAAATAGGATCAGCCTGTGATTCTTCCCATTTGCAGCAAAGTGAAGTAAATACTTAATAGTCCACCAAATGTCTTCCTTCCTTGGAGCAAAGCACTCACTGTGCCACCTTTTGCAGTTTCCTCTAACATGGTCTCACCCTAGTGCATGTGTTCAAAGTGCTAATAGGAACAGGCAGATGAGGTATTCATCTTTCATCATATCCCAAGGGATCTGGAGCATTTGGTCTTGTAACACTTGCAGCCTGTGTGTCTGGGGAGTTGGGACCCTCTGGGTGTCTGGGGCTGACCCATTTGTCTTTCCTCACCAGGATGTGAGTGACTGGCAGCTCATACAGGGCTTGGCAATTGTTTCTCAGTGCAGGCCTCCTCTAGCAGAGCTTTCTGTGGAGATGTGGGACATTGCGGCCTTGGGTGTTTGCCACCACTATGGTCATTATGTTTTCCTTCAGAAATGGCTTCCTGCATGCAGAGTATCATCCAGTTTCTTCTGGAAGTTGTAAGCATGGACAAAAGCAAGCACAAAACATTCAGTAACTGATTCCCCAGCTGCACACAGATCTACTACTTCCATAGATTTTTAGATTTCATAGATTTAAATCAACTGTAGCTGACACTTCTATTGCTTTTAATTTACTATATTCACTCTTTGTAATGACTTTTTTGTGTTGCTGCTAGTGCTAGGTACATTAGGATCCTGTCTTTGTTATTGCTCTTTAGTTGGCATCCAAAAAGTACACAGACTTCTGAGCTGTAAACATTGAAACACATTAGAGAAGAAACAGACTGAAGATTTCACTTCCACACAGAAAGATTGTTGTAAAATTGAAGGAAATCAAACTTTTAGTTTGCTTATGTTCTATACATCAACAATTTTAGAGAATTTAAGCTACAAGAGGTCAGATACCTACCAAACAACCTAACTGAGGAAACTTGGCTCCCTCTGTAGTCAGTGAAGAGAAAGAATCATCTCCAGATAGTAGTTCTAGCCCAAGAGATGAAAATTGGCTTATTATTTTCCATGAAGAACTAGAAATCCTCCACCATAAATACAACTTGCAGGTTCTGCATTTTTTTAGCGCTTTCATGCATCTTTCACTTAGTTTCTCACTTACTGAAAAAAGCCTTTAAAAAAGTATTCATGAACCAGAGAAGCTTGCATGCAGAATTTTTCACGTGTTCTAAGTCCAGGTCATGTATAAAGCTTTCTCTTTTGAGAATTTGGATTAAATATTCAAACTTTTAGGAGAGTCAACACCGGTCTCTACAACTGAGCCTTATATCTAGTGTCACACCCAATTAATGCAAGAGCCCCTCAAAGTCAGCTCATCCATGCTATTTTATCTGTATGAATGGGATTTCTGGTAACCATTTCACACACTGTTCTTCTGCTTTTTCCACCTCTTCTGCTGATTTGGCATATAAATATCAGCCTGTTTTCAGTACACACAGAAGAAATTTTGAATACTGATGACGCTTTCTTCTGCTTTAAATGTAAACAGTTATGCCATGTGAAAACCCTCTTTCCCTCTCTCTTTCTACCATGTAACTTTCCACAGAAGTTAAATGACTTTTTTCTTAAGTGACAAATGTGGCCAAAAGGTTTGAGACCCTATAAATCAAGCAAAGTTGCTTTTAAGTTTTCATCCATCTTTTGCAGTATAAGTTAGGAGAAAAACATATTGTATTATCTTCCATGACAATGAAGATTCAGCTGGTAGGACTGAAAATATTTAATAAATAAGAGTGTAACACCTGTCTACCTTGCTGTGGGGCCAAGCACAAGTCATCTTATTTTGCTGTTATGTTAGTGGGAATTGCTCATCTGCTGAGTAATTGGCATTGCTCTCAGAAGGCTCTTCCTTCTTTCTCTGAGATGCACACACACACATGTAAACAAACTGCTCTTTTAAACTACTAGGATTTATTGTAGAAGATGTTTTCTCTAAAGGGTTTGACAAGAAATGAAAGCAAAAATTCCTAAGATTTCTTTGGAGAATTTCAAGGGTTTTAAAACTTGTAAGAATAATGATATTTTGCGCTTAAAATTATTTTCAGGTTTTCAAAAAAACATAAAAATATGTAGAAGCAGTATTTTTCATTAAAAAGCATCTGTCCACGTTGAGACTACTTTGTTTGCTTGTTTATTTTCTTTATTTATCAATCTGACTCTGTTTCAGGATGTTCCTTTCAACTGATTACAAAACTGCATAGAATGATCCTGTCATTCTTGTAGTAATTTTCTGTGCAATATTACTGACTTCAGCACAGCTATTTGATATTGTGGTTAAACTGAAAGGAGAAGGCATATTCTTCTTGCAACAGATGCTTTATCAAATACATATCTTATATCTATTGCTTTCACTAATTAAATCAGCTTTGCTGATTCATAAATTTTTGGCCAAGCCCAAACAGATCTCCCAGTTATCCTATAAGAAATGTTGCTCCGCTCTAGGATTTTTAAAATCGTTATTCATGGAAAGGAGCAATTAATATTAGTAAAATACGTTTTAGTAGCTAATGCTTTTAGAAGTTGTTCTTTTTCTAATAGGGTTTATAATTTAAGAATGGAATTCACTCATTTCCAATGTATCTTAAACCTTGTTTTGTAGATTACTGCAAATCCACTGAGGAAAAAAACCAAGGAGGCATCAGAAGAATATTGGTGACGAGAAGGATAAAAGCAGAAACCCAGCAACAAATACTTTGCCTGTTTGAGCGAGAGATTTGAAACTTTCCCCAGCTTGTGAGTAATATCAGATTTCCCCCTCCTTGCCCCCACCCTCCTACTGAGATCAAAAGACAATATTCCTGCCTCTTTGTAAGCACTGTGCCATCTGTACAGCTCCATTTGCAGCACCAAAGTCCGACTCACCCTCTGTTCCCCTACTTAGATGTATGATACTGTCTCTGCTACCAGAGATCTGATGTGGTGGGAGCAGTTTCCTTATATGTGAGCCTAACAAATTGAAACCTGCCCCCTGTGCTCAGTCCTAGCTCAAACAGCTTTCCACAAAGTCAAATATCAAGATCACAGTCAGCGTTTTGAGGCAAAAAATGAGGAATGCGTGCTGATTTTTTTTACTGCCACAAGTGTAGTGGACAGAAATGCTGTTTATTAAATATTTGTAGCCTGATGGAGTTATCTATTCTCTTGATACACTGATAAAGGTAATATGTATAGGAAGCCACATGAAATGTTCTTAAAATGGTGCCCTCTCTGTCACCATTCAAAGACCTGTTGAAACTCCAGCTGACTGAGGACCCACCAGGCCCTGGTGGTCTGGAGAACACTGCTTATCTTAGTGCAGCATGACAAATCCAAGCTTCCCATGGGTATTTCCAGCCCTGGTGGTAGTGCTGAGAGAGGACAGATGATGGCTCTCTCAAAAAGTTATGGGCCAAATCAGTTGAAGGAAAGAAATTTTAAAAGGAAGTAAAAATTGTAATTGACAACTGAGGAGAAACATTTCCTCAGATGGCCAAAAGTCAGAACTTAACATTTGGAAAAGAGAATTCTCCTGTTTTTCTAAAGAAAATACCTGCAAGTAAAATTATTCAAACAAAATAGAAAAAAGAATTGAGACATGTATAAAAAAACCCAAAACAACTAAATTGAGGAAGTTCACAATCTGTATAACTTAGACATTAGAAATTTAAGAATTACAGGTGAAAAGGGATTGTTTCTAGAATAAACATTTCTGGTAGAAATAACTCAGGAATGATTTTATCTCTTTGGAATTAGCTTATTGTGGATACATTTAAAAGTATTTTTAATAATACAGAAAAGGTGAAAAGGCTTAGAATTTTTTTTTACTTTCATGTGGGAGTATTCAGACAGTATTTGGGTGAAACCACTAGTAGGTGATAAACACTTTTCACTCCAAGCAGGAAGTCTGAATGTGGGCATTTCCAGTCTGCAGGTTTGGCCACCCTGCTCTTTTGGTGAATGTAGAGCATCTCTCCATGTTATGTAATGCCATTGGTCAGCTTTTTGTTTATATGTGATCCTTTTCTAATGTTTGGACTATTTGAGGACTTCCCATGACACTGCAGGCTCTCAGGTCAGCCATTCTCTTTGCGTCACTGGTTTACTGTCTTGATAAACCCACACTATTTCTGATTTCAGGTTCTAGATTTTTCCCTTTGATGCTTCACAGAGGGAAGTTCAAAACCTTGAAACCCTTCTGTGCTACATTTCTTCCTGCAATCTCTTTATCATGCTACAGGTTTTGTACCTGCTTGAATTACAGGGAATATATATCTACCTCTTAGAAAGTATCCCAAAAGTGTGGGTGTCAGTAAGACCAAGACATCCAGGTCACAGAAGTATGACCCTGTCTGAGATCTTGCAGTGGAGCTCCAAGTCTGTGGAACTGGTTGTGGAAGAATGAGGTTGTTCACTATCCCTGCATAGCAAAAATGGAGCAGTCTGTTGTTCTTTATAAAGGCTGAAGAGCCAGGCCACAAATATTCAGGAAATGCCTCTTGCCAGTAACAGCAACAGCTCTGAGCAGGTCTGGAGGTGGGCTCTAAGGAGCTGCAGTACTCACACTGTGCCCAGCCAGGGTCTGCTCTGACTCAGCCCCCCTGAGCCAGGTCCTAAGCTCCACCAGCCCTCCCGTTGACAGAGCAGCACAGCCCTGCCCGCAGTGCTGTGGCCAGAAGCAGTGAGCTCTGCTGCAGCACTCTCCCAGGGGGACACTGAGGTCTCAATCCTGCAGGACCCAGAGCTGGCTCCTTCCAGACCCTCTCTTTTGAAACAGAGCTATCATGTAGGACACCACCATCAGTGGAGAGGACCACTCTTGTCCACCTCCAGCACCTGGCTCTGAGCCACCACACATACACACATTGTGGGATTGTCTTTATCTTAATGGCATTTTTAAAATGTGCCAACAGGACTTCCGAGCCTTCAGGATGCACTGAGTTTTATTTTCAATTCATTTCAAATGGAAAACTTAACTGTGTATTGTGCTTAAAGGAAACTTTTCTGTAAGCCAACAGCTGGCTTTTTTAAAATGTGACCCATATTTTTTAGCCCAGAATCCCCTCTGAATCACTTTTTCTTGAGTTTTGAGGTTTTACCTCCATTTAGATCTACCAACATCAGCAGTCCTCTCTGTTTCCCCAGGGAAAGGCAGAACAGGACCCAGCCTGTTCTCCTGAAGAAACAGAGCAGGAAGCCAGCGTGCTAAACTCTGATTATTTCTCTGGCTCTGTGTATTTCCTGAGAGATCTTGAAACAGAATCATATACACAAGTTATTTAGCTGGAGGTGAGCTATGAAGATGATAAAAAAAAAGAAAAAAAATATTTGGAGGGAGTAGATGAAGATAGCACATGATGGCTTTTAACATTAACATCAGACTATAAAATGCTAGTATCTTTTAGGATACATCTAGGTGTGTATTACAATTAGAAAACAAATTTCTGTGCTCTGGGCTGGTCTACTTCCTCTGAAAGAGAGCATTTGACAGCTTTTGCTTTGTGAATGGGTCTCTGGGCTTTTGGGTGGGATCCAGGCAGAGCAGTCACAGATCTGTCACCAGACAAGCCTACCCTTAGTCACTGTGATGTGACCATGGATGGGCATTTTTGGGAGTGCAAAACACACAGCTCTCTGTTAGTTTTACTGGTTGTTGTGTGTGCGTGTGAATCCTTCAGAAGAGTAGCAGCTGAAAGGGTTTGATTCTCTTCCCATCAAAAATAAATTGCAAAAATTGTATTGATTTCAGAGCAGGAGGATTGGACCCTTAGCCTTGAAGAGGATATTTAATATATTCCATTACTAGCATCTTAATGGGATACAGCTATACCATGCTGCACACGGAGCTACATATGATACAGCTCCCTCAGGCTGCTCGACAATATGCTCTCCACTTCAGAGACTAGTACATAAATACAATTCACATGCTCTGTCTTTAGTCATGCCACAGTTTTGTCAACCACATCACATTTTTCTGCCTCAGGCTGCGGTGTGTGCTGTTAACACATGTCTTCGGACTCAGGTCAGAGAGTGCAGGGACAGCACTGCATTGCTTCTGTTTTCAGGGGACTTTCCTGTCTTTTCTTGTCATGCAATTAACTTGCCTCATTCCTATTTTGGCTTTTTTATTATTGTTATTTTTGCCTACCACACAACATCTATTTAATGTAAATACAATATAATTTGTAAAATTCGTTCTACTGTATTTTTCAAGTAGATGTAAAAAATGCTGAAGTGCAGGAAAAGACCTCTGTAGCACGACTGTTCTGAGTAAGTGAAATCCACTAATTTTCTCAAATTGCCTCCAAGTCTTCTTTTTCATGTTTTCCTCCAGAAGATTTTCAACCGGTGATTCCTTTGAATTGACTGAAAATTATCATAGGTTGATATCTTGATTAAGCTTTGAACTCTTGAAAATTAGCAAGGGAAAAACCTTTGGCCCACTTACAAAAATATTTTTCCCAGTCACAGAGCTGGTCAACAGTTTTGGAATTTCCATATGAAATTTCATCAAAATGGAGATGAAAGGGGAACAACCACCAATATCTCTTTTTGTACTTAACTAGCACCAAACACCCTGCAGCTGGAGAGGCTGGATGGTGGATCATGTCAGGGGTTCTTTGCTGCTCCCTATCTTCATGGGCAAAGTTTCTCCCAGGGTGTTGGCATTATTCTTGGATTTCCTTCCCTCTCTCTCTCTGGACTGATTTTGCCATGGCCTAATGTACACAGCAATGAAGTAGATGAAAGCTGACCAAGGGCATACAGAAAGCAGTTCAGCTTTGCAGTAACTGCAAATCCCTCTTCCTTCATCCTTGTTGACTGACCCCCCCCATTAGAAAAGCTTTTGTCTAAGAAAGGCAAAATCAACATAAGACTATGTAGATGGGTGACTCGCTTTGTCTCCATCAGCAGCAGTAGCTGGATGAACAAAGAGACTGCTCAGCTTCCTGTACTTTCTGGATTCAAAATGGAGAATACCTTACAATAACAGTTACTTCTTTCCTCTTGGACACACTTCTTCATAGAGAAAATGTAGCTTAAAAAAATCACAACGTCTCTGTCTGGGTTTTTTCGTAAAAAATTAGTGGCTTGCCTCTAATGTTTCTAATGCTTAAGCATTCATTGCCACCGTTGTAAATCTTTTAGAGCAAAAGAGAGTGAGAAATGTTAATCACAGAAAGGAGAAAGGGCTTATTTTGAGAAGTTTATTTCTCCACTGGACATCAAAACAAAATGTAAAAGGCAAATTGGTCTTCAAAACATGCAGCTGAAAGGAACTCTGGCAGTAGGCAGGCACACACAGCCACATTCTGGCATCCAAATATAGTTCATGTTGTACCATCCAGATGAAGATGATCACTGTATCATGACAGAGCTTCACTCTGGCCTTGTTTCTGTCCTTTCCTTGATGGCCATGGCCTGTTTGGGTGCACGGTGCAGTGGGACCAGAGCTCTGTGGGGAAGGGCAGGTCCCTGCCTGAGTCCCCAGCTCTGCCTCAGGCTGGGCAAAGGCACAAGAGGAATGTGGGACATTTTATCTCTTGTGCTGGGGTCAGCTTAATAGAGAGTGATTTCTGGAGTGGTGAATTTCTCCTGGATGGTTTGAGGTATGTGTTCAGTCCCACCACTTTGCGTTCATTTAATCTGGTAAAAATAAACTGTAAGGGAGCCTAAGTTGCCCTTGGCAGCAAGTGAAATATGTGTTGGTCCTGTTAGCTGTGGTTCTGAGTTCTCAGTGGTATGAGAAGGGGAGC